TACTAAATTGACATCAAAAAATCTTAATTTCTATTTCTTCTTTCACATACAAGTATAAAAATTTGTATTTTCTTATTATCGATTTTTTCTAAAAATTTTGTTAAAAGATTTTTCCACCATTTAAAATTTTTTATTAACACACACAGTAAAGTAATCGTAATTTTTTTCTTATTTTCATCTCTAGTTTTAAGAATTATAATTTTCCACCCTATTCTAAGTATTAAATTATTAAAAGAGATTTTTTATTGCACAAGAGAGCCAATTACTCAAATACCCATTATCACTCTTCGTTTTGTTTCAATGAAATAATAAATATCTTTGTGGGTAATTTCCAAGACTGCTCAACTTTCCTATCAACAGTAAACATTTCCCCTCATCATGCGACTCGATGACGTACCCAAGTCCAAATCCGTTGTTCTTTTTGGAAATAGCGTAATATTGCGCGACTAATAAACCCCGATTTATGGCTCGTCGTAAAAATCTCAGTGTGCGGTTTGAAAATTCGTGCACACCTGCTCTTAGGTATGAATTGCGAAAAAACCGCATTGAGTGTATAAAAAATAAGTAAAAAAAAGATTGTGAAGGAGATCGTGTTTGATTTGCGCGGACTTGGAGTGGTTTTATCTTGATCCAAGAGTGTGGCACCGAGCAGTCTGCAGCGGCTAATTCCAACCACGTGTTAGGTGATGCAACATCAATTAAAGTGGACGTTCCCATGATCCTGTCACCTTTGTTCGCCAGAATCGGTCCATTTAGAATATTAATATGACACGACCCAGAGCGATGGAATGTCTCTATATAATTACCGCTAATGGGAAACGATTAAAAGGCACGCACACGTGCTCCAAACCAATTTAAATGGTATGCAGATTGCTGGTATACCACCACAATAATACCTTGCAACGTTATCAAAATGTATCAGATTTGTTCTTTGCACAGAAGAATCTAATAAAAAAATTAAAACAGAAAAAAAGACTAAAATAAAAGAGGCAATTTTTTTGGTAGCATTGGTCTGCTTTATTTGTTTAATGATGTGTAACTTGCTTAACAATAAAATCTGAATATTATTGAGACTAGTTTTTTCTACTCATGCTTTGAATTAGATGAATTAAATTCTTAAAAAAATGAGAATTTTTTGTTTTGCATTTTATGGGGGTTGTAGGAAAACTTTGTTTTCCGTTCAAATTTTAGAAGACTTTCTTCTATAGACTAATACATTTTAGAAGAAATAACTTTACATTCAAGTTTTAGAAATCGTTATTAAGTAAATATACATTTATATACTTGTACATACAGGGTGCGCCAGAACTCGCGCCCCAGAGAAAATTTTCAAGTAATTTAAGATACCAGGAACATGAAAAAAATGTTCAAAAAATTATATCTATCAAAAAATTTTGACATTTATTTTTTGACATTTGACTTTTTTTTATATCTTTTTAATGATACTGATGATCTTGTATATGTTTTTTTTACAATTATTTAGTAAAGAAACAAAAATTTTGCCAATAAAAGCCACAAATAACATTGAACAGAGTGACAATTTAGGATACATTTTTTTCATGTTCCTGGTATTTTACCCTATATGGCATTTTTCTCTGGGGCGCGAGTTCTGGCGCACTCTGTATATGAAAGAAAAAATGGAAATTAAAATTTTTTGATGTCAATTTAGTAGATTTTACAGAAACTAGTTTCTACTTTAGGATTAAAGTAGGGATGAATGAAGAATATTAATTAAACTAATAAAATTTAATTAAGGTTTCTTAAAAGTAAAATTTTAAATATGAGTAATATGAGAAGACTCACATTTTGTTTTTTATTATTTTTTTGGTCTAAATTTTGTGGCATTGGTCTGTTATTTTTTCTTTTTATTTGTTTAATAATGTATGAACTTGTCTAACAATTAACAAAAAAATGAATAAACTAAATGAGTAAAAACGTCAAATCTTACAATAAACTCTAGTCTAATTAAACCAAGATCAATAATGAAGATTTAACATTTTCGTAAAAGCAGAATCTAAAATTTGAATATTATTGAGACAATTTTTTTACTTATGTATTAAATTGTGTTATTTTGAAAACAAAATTAGATAAATAAAAATCTTAGAAAAAAAAAGAGGATTCTTAATTTTGCTTTTAATGGGGGTTGTAGGAAAAGTTTGTTTTAGATTAAGACTTTCTTCTATAGACTAATACATTTTAGAAGAAATAACTTTGCATTCAAGTTTTAGAAATCGTTATTAAGTAAATA